TGAGTCAAGACTCCTTTTGCGATTCCCTGTCGTTCATCCACATACAGGGTGAACGGCTTGGTCACATCCAGGAGACCCAAGGCCAGAGCCGATAATAAGGCCTTTTTAATACGATCGAAAGCCTGTTGTTGTTCTTTCTCCCACCGAAATGGGACAGTGGCCTTAGTGAGAGGATATAGAGGGGCTGCTAACTCTGCGAATCCTGGTATCCACAGGCGACAGAATCCAGTGCTTCCCAAGAACTCCCTCCGGGCCCGTGCACTTGTGGGCGGTGGGATCTGGGTGATGGCTTGTTTACGACTCTCTGTTAGCCACCTCTGCCCTCCTTTCAGCTTATAGCCTAGATAGGTCACTTGTTGGACACAGATTTGTACCTTTTTGGCTGAAGCTCTATACCCCAACTCCTCCAGTCTCTTTAAAAGGGCCCCAGTACCTTTTAGGCAGTCATTTTGATTTTCAGCCGCTAGGAGCAGGTCATCTACATATTGTAGAAGGGTGAATTGGGGGGGGGGGGGTTGACTCTGAAATCAGCCAGGTCCTGGTGTAGAGCCTCGTCAAATAGGGTCGGGGAGTTTTTAAATCCTTGTGGCAATCTGGTCCATGTGAGCTGTCCTGAAAAACCTGATTCTGGATCTCTCCATTCAAAAGCAAAGATCAGTTGACTCTGAGGGCTTAGCCTCATGCAAAAGAAGGCATCCTTTAAATCTAACACTGTGTGGCTCGGGGGCAGCGTACTTAGTAAATTGTAGGGATTAGGCACAGTAGGATGTATGTCCTCTCTTCTCCAGTTCACTTCCCTCAAGTCCTGCACTGGATGGTAGTCTCCCATCCCAGGCCTTTTGATGGGCAATAAGGGGGTTTCCATGGAGATTGGCATGGTTTTAGGATACCCAATTGGATTAGTCTTTGTATATGTGGCCTAATTCCATTTTTGGCTTCCCTGCTTAGTGGATACTGATGTATCATCACTGGGGTAGCCGAAGCTTTAAGTCCAATGACCACGGGAGGCTGGTTCGTAGCCAGTCCCATTCCTGCAGTCTCCGCCCAAGCCTGGGGAAAATCTGATAACCATTGGGGGTCGATCCAGGCTGACTGAGGGCTTTCATGTAACCGATGTTCATCCTCCAGGTGTAAAGTTAGGACTTGGAGGGGCTGTCCTTGGGGTCCCCTAACGGAAGCCCCTTTCCCTTGGAAATAAATCTGGGCCCCTACCTTTGAGAGGATGTCCCTCCCCAACAACGGATAGGGGCAGTCTGGAATTAGGAGGAACGAGTGAGTGACTAACCCCGTTCCGAGGTGTACTTTTCGTTCAGTTGTCCATCGGTACAGTTTCCCTCCTGTGGTCCCCTGCACCAAAGATGTCTTAGAACTCAGGGGACCTCCTGATCGGGTTAGGACCGAATGTTGGGCACCAGTGTCAACCAGGAAGGTTACTGGCTGGCCCCCCACTTGAAGGGTTACCCGGGGCTGGGGGGGGGGGTTTCTGGCCCTGACTGTCCTAATCTTTATCATCCTGTAGGGACAACACTTGTGCCAGCTTTCGGGGTCCTCTCATCTGCCCCCTTTTTTTCGGGCAGTTCCTGACCCAGTGTCCTATTTCCTTGCAGTATGCACACTGGTCACGGCTCACCAGAGGTCTCTTTTCGTCCCCCAGGTTCCTATCTAACCTAGCCTCTCTCTCTTCTGGCTGTCGCACTACGGTGGCCAAGAGCTTACTTAACTCTTTAGTACATTTCTTGTCTAGCTTGTCCTCTCTATCCTCCTGCAACTTCCATAATCTTTCTTCCTTTTCTTCCTGAGTTTCTCTCTTATTAAAAATTTTCTCTGCTTCCTTGACCAAATCCTGCAAAGTATACCCCTGAAGCCCCTCCAACTGCTGTAGCTTAGTCCGAATGTCTGGGGCCAATTGCCCGATAAATGACATAATGACATCGGATTGTCTGTCTGCAGCAGAGGGGTCAAAGGGCGTATACATACGGTACCCTTACATTAGTCTCTCTAAAAATCCTGCAGGCGTTTCCTCAGAACCCTGCACTATCGCACGTACCTTAGCCAAATTGGTGGGGCGCCTCCCGGCCCCTTTGAGACCCGCCAACAGAACCTGGCGATAAAGACAGAGTCACTCCCTACCAGCTGCGGTTTTGAAGTCTCAATTTGGGCGGGTTAACGAGAACGCATCGATCTCATTGGGCAACTGCGTTGGCCTGCCGTCTGCTCCTGGAACATTTTTGTGAGCCTCCAGGAACACTCGCTGCCGTTCCTCCATGGTGAGGAAAGTCTGCAAGAGTTGCTGACAGTAGTCCCAAGTGGGCTGGTGGGTTAGCAGACTGGATTCAATCAGGCCTGTCAGGGCCTGAGGATCCTGAGAAAAGGGCGGGTTATGGGTTTTCCAGTTATATAAGTCTGAAGCAGAAAAGGGCCAATACTGAAATTGGCCGGCCACTGTCCGGAGGGGAAAGGCGGAGGCGCAGACGACTGCTAGGTGGTGGCGAGGGCGCCTGAGGCGGTGGTGGCATCTGGGGCCCTGCCTCCAGCTCAGTGGAGTCCGGAGAAGGAGCGAGTGGGGAAAGGGAGACCTCTAGTGGGCCCCTTTGCTCTTCTATCGGAGCAGGTTGGGCGTAAGGCGGCGACGGGGGATCCAAGACTGGCGGGGAGTCTAATAGTAGTAGATCCGCCTGGTCATCAGGTAAAACAGAGGGAGATTGGGAGGAGGAGTCCTTAGTTTTAAACTGAGACAACTCTTTTATGGGATAGAGGGAAGATGAGAGAGAGGGAAGAGAAACAAGGGGAGTGGAAGAAGGTAAGGGTACGGGTGGAGGAGAGGGGGCAGAGGGAAGAGGAAAAGGGGAGTAGAAGAAGGCGGAGAAGCGGATAGAGGAACTGGTGTCTGGGAGAGGAAAGGCTTGATCCACTTCGGGGGGTCTCGGGCCAGATCTTCCCAAGTGACTATGTAGGGGACCTGATCAGGGTGTCCATGAGGGCCTGGCTGAAAAACTCGAGCCTTCACCTGTAAAAGAATATCAAGATTGAAAGAGCCCTCCTTAGGCCATCCCACATTGAGAATGGGCCATTCGGAGGAACAGAAACGAATCCACTTTTTCTTCTGGACCTCCAGCAACAGGTTGTGGGCCTGGGTCATGATTTCTTTCCAGTGATCTAGAGTAAGGCTTAAGGGGGTTGTTAGTTGTTGCCCCATTTCTTTAAAGGCCACAAGACAGACAACAAAGACAATCGACGCTAAACAGAAACAGACGAGACTAGACAAACGCTGGGCGGTGCCCGAGTAAGTACAGATGAGGAAGGAAACTACAGATGGGAGTGGCCAGCCGCAACTTAACTCCCCAGAACAGAGAGACACTCGGATCTCCTCCTTCCTCGAGACGACCCTGGAGCAGGACTCCAGGGCGGGACCAGGGTACTGGGCACGTCTGCTTTTCTCTCTGGCCCAAATACAGATTCAGACTCAGGTCCTGTACAGGCACTTTTGGATCCCAGAACATAAAACGAAAATGACAAACATGAAAGTCACGAAACCTTAGAGCTCTGCCTTACCTCCAACTGGCCTTGGAATTTGGGTCGGGGGCGCCGTTATCCCAGACGAGCCCCCAACGGAAAGAACACAGCCTCACTGGGATACTTTCCCAACGGGAGGGCACCCCAGAAACCAAGACTCCAAACCAGCAGATGCAACAAGCAAGAGGAGTTTATTTGACATTTGCGCAAACAGACTCTCTGCCCCAGTCAGTCAGAGAGTCCCGAGCAGAGGTTACAGACACTTTTAAAAGCAAAAACCAAAAATTAGCATAGAACACTCTTTGTGAAACAATTGGCTCATGGTTGGTCTAAGGGGGGGGGTACAGGTTACAGGCCTATGATTGGTTGTCATTTGGCTTAGCTTGTGGTCTTGCCAGGTGGTCGTTGTCAAAGTCCGTCCCGGGGATTGTTGAACTGAACTGGAACTGAACACACACACACACACACACACACACACACACACACTCAAAAAGAAGAAATATTCAGACCAGGCTCTGGTGTAAATTCCCTTTTAAACTCCATTATTCCATTATTTCAGAAGCTGACATCTGAGGATCAGATGACAGGTCAGGTCAAAGCTAGCCAGCCAAGAAGGTGTGTGAGAAGAGTATCTCTAGTCAACTCCTGAGAAAATATTCTAGCATTCTTAGAACCGTAGCTTGTAGGAACTCTGAGATCTGAGGGTCACAGTTCAAACACACTGGGCAAAACTATCCTTCAGAATTTCTAGTGTTGTGTAACAAGTGTTGTTGATGATGTGGTTGAGCAATAGCTGTGACAAAAGCAGCTCCGTTATGGCACCTAGGTCCTGAGTTCAAAACCCAGACCTGCAAAAAAGTGAACAGGACAGGAAGGAAGGGAGAGAGAGGGGAAGAAAACAAGGAAGGATGGATGGAAGGCAAGAAGGAAGGACGGGAGAAAGGAAGGCAAGAAGGCAAGAAGGAAGGAAAGAAGCAAGGGAGGGAGGAAGCGAAGGAGGGAGGGAAGAAATGACAGGCAGAGATATTCCAGATACTTTGTTAGATATGAATAAGGTGGGCTGACTGCTCCTCTTGGATGCTTTGCCTGCTCAAGGGAGTGGTCCATTTGTGGGAATATCTGGAGCGCTTAAGGTAGAAGTTTTGGCAAGCTGTGGTGTCCCAAGCGTTAACCACTGAAGGAGGAACAGGGCAGTGGGAGTCGGGCTGATAATCCTGTCACTTTTGTGTTGGAACCTGCCTGTGAATACGTCCAGTAGGAGGCTGGCTGGCTGTCCGGGTGTGCTGGGTGTGGCTCAGTAATCCCATCAGAAGCTGCTATCTGATTGGAAGGTGAGTGTTGGTGAGGGTGTGGTCAGATTATAAAGATGGCAAGGGGCTAGAGATGAGCAGCACAGTCTTGGAGCCTGCAGTCAGTCCCCGGCCCTGCTGGGATTCCGAGAGCCCTGCACACCTGCTCCACATCTGGTCCACATTCGGTCCATCAAGATGAGCATCAGGACGCCACCCACACTGCAGCATCTAGCCCTGCAAAGCCTACTGAGTAAAGAGTCCCAGGCCATCTCGGTGCTGGAAGATCTGCCGGTGCTGCTGTTCCCCCCACTCTTCATGGAGGTCTACGCACAGGGCCGCACAGAGGTGCTGAAGGCCATGGTGCAGGCCTGGCCCTTCCCCTGCCTTCCCCTGGGGGACCTGGCAGAGTCACCAGACCTGGAGACCTTCAAAGCTGTCCTGGATGGGCTTGATCTGCTGCTACTTGCCAAGAAGGAGCGCCCCAGGCGGTGGAAACTGCAAGTAGTCGATCTGCGGAAAGCACACCCTGAGATCTGGATACGGGGATACCCCTCCATGGCGCAAATCTCCACTCCAGATGTCCTGACTGAAAGGCCAACAGACAGTCGCCTTTCAGCTGGGACTGAAGAGCAGCCCTTGATCCTCGCCATTGACCTGACCATCAGAGATGGCACCCAGGATGCTTTCCAAGCCTACCTCCTCCAGTGGGCCAGGAAGAGGAAAGGACGAGTCCAGCTGTGCTCAACCAAGCTGCAGATTCTGTCTGGCTCCATCTACAAAATCCAGAAGGCTCTGCATGCGGTGCGCCTGGACTCCATCCAGGAACTGGTGGTGAACAATTTCTGGCATCGAGAAACCATGAGAAAATTCGCTCCTTCCCTGGACCAGATGAGGAACCTTTGCCTGCTCACCTTCTCCAAGATGAGTGTCGACTTGTATACTTCCAGCCGCCGGAATCTCTGGTATTCCGGCAAATATGCGGTGCATCTGGGGCAGCTGCAGCATCTCCAGGAGCTTCGTGTGCACGATGTCTTCTTCCTGTATGGACGGCTGCCCGCCATCCTCAGCAGCCTGACGCCTTTGAACACCTTGTCTTTGAGCTCATGTCCGCTGAAGGAAGCCGACCTGAGATTTTTGTGCCAGTGTCCCTGCACCAGGCAGCTCAAGCACCTGCGTCTGAGGAGTTTGTGCATGGGCCGCTTCAGTCCTGAGCCCCTGCGAGCCCTGCTGGAGCAAGTGGCCGGCACCCTGGAGACCCTGGCCTTGGAGCACTGTGACATCACTGACGCACAGCTCTCGGCCATGCTGCCTGCCCTGAGCCAGTGCTCCCAGCTGCGCTTCCTCAGCTTCTATGGAAACCACATCTCCGTGGCCGCCCTGCACAACCTGCTGCGCCACACTGCCAGGCTGGGCCATTTAAGCCGAGGTCTCTACCCGGCCCCTCTGGAGAGCTACCGCCCTCCACACTGGGGCCTAGGGAGCCTCGACCCCGAAAGATTTGCCCAGGTTCGGGCTCGCTTGGAGCAGGCCTTGAGAGACGCGGGGCCAAACCAGAAGGTCCAGATCTGTACTGATTTCTGTCATCGCCGGCAAAAGGGCCAATTCTACAGCCTGGGGCCCGATGGCTCCTGGATGCTCACCCACGAGGGGCTTCCTAGCCTTTCTGATCTGCCTGTGTAGTCACCAGCCTCTCTCCTGGAATCTCGTCTCAGCATCACAAAGGAACCCCTGGACACAAGGACATTCTCCCTGGGGCATACGCCCATCTTTCAAGGTGGGTGGGATGGACTGGGAAACTTCTCCCGAACTTCCTAGTTATCCAAGCCCCGGACTTTCTTAGCACGGTTGGTGTCCATGGGGCCTGTGTACACATCATCAGGAAGCTGGAGTGGACTCTGCCTGAAAGAATTGGAACATGATCTCGTTTTCGCTCTTGTTGTAAGCAAACCTTAAAGTCCTGTGTAATCCCACACTATCTGTCATTTACTCTACCATTCACTTCATTAAATAAAAATCAAATAAAGGAAAACCATGAGTAGATTGATGTCATTTCTCAGCACCAAGCAATGGGAGTATTTTTGTTGCCGAGAATTCTAGGTAGTCGACTGGTCAGAGACCGGAGCATCACAGTTCAAAGCTGGCCTGGAGAAGAAAGTCCCTAAGACTCTCTTCTCTAGGGAACCACCAAAAAAGGCCAAACCTGGACCTATATTTCAAGTAGTAGAGTGCTGACACTGAGCACAAAAGCTCAGGGAAAACTCCCAGGCACTCACTTCAAGTCTCAGAATTTGCACAAACCATCCAGTAATTTCATGACATAGGCCAAACTGATAACAATCCAATTTGGGAGGGAAAGGAAGGGCGCAGGGAAATTCAACATCAAATATCAAATGACATCCCATGAACGCAAGAGAACTCCTGGCAGAGACCCTTCATACTTAGTGATGAGAATGATCAATACTGCTGTACTGCTTCAAATTTGATCAAGTCTGCCTTGAAAAGACAAAGCACACTTCATTTGTACTTTGGGTACTGATATTGACTTCAAGCCCAAACACACACACACACACACACACACACACACACACAACACACACACACACACACACACACACACACACACACACACACAGAGGCCCTCAAAAAGAAGGAATATTCAGACAAGTCTCTGGTGTAAATTCTCTTTTGAAAAGCCTACTAAGCAAAGAGTCCGGGGCCATCTCTTTCCTGGAGGATCTGCAGGTGCTGCTTTTCCCTCCACTCTTCATGGAGGTCTACGCACTGGGCCACACAGAGTTGCTGAAAGCCATCTTGCAGGCCTGGCCTTTCCCCTGCCTTTCCCTGAGGGACTTGGCAATGTCCCCAGACCTGGAGACCTTCTAAGCTCTCCTGGATGGTTTCGATCTCCTGCTTCTTGCCAAGGAGTAGATCAAAAAAGACTATAAGTAGAGCTTTGGTTCAAGTAGTAGAATGGTGACATTGAGCAAGAATTTCAGGCATAAATTCTAAACAGTTATCTCAATGTCCCGAATGGCCACCTATGAATGTACACAGAACCAATATCAAACGGATCCAGTTCTAAATTGGATAATATTATGGGGTGTGGAAATTCAACCTCAAATACTATCAACTCATTTTGACAAGACCAAAATACCATGATACCATAACATTAGGACAGACCATTGTTATTGTGAAGTCGTAGACTCATTTTTAATGTTTATTCTGTTATTTCGTTCTATTTCCAATGTGGCATATGGCCTGATAGCATAAACTCGATATGACTTCATATACATTGTAACATCAAAATTCCCTTTTGATATCCCTGTCTCCTCATGTTTTCAAAAACCTAATATGGCCTCATAACATTTTCAAAATTTGTGGCCTTTGGGACTTCAAGTCATTTTGTGAACTCATATTCTCATTGTGAACTGGTAGCAATTTAAATTGGACATATTAAGATACTACAAACTTGTTTGGACATCACAAACCCATTGTGACTTGATCACTACTGTGACATTATGACCATTTTGAGATCATTGCCATTGTTACAACATGATCACATTGTGATATCTCAAACCTGTTATGACCTCTTAGAACCGTTGAAGAAACACATGGGATTTGTGACATCAGTCTATTTTGTACAAATCTCTTTAGTGTGAACTAATAACAATTGAGATCAGATATGTCATTGGAACATCACAATCCCTTTGTGACATCATCCCTATTGTGATATCACGCTGTTGTTATGACAGCATCAGCTCATTGTGACATCCCCAAGCTAAAATTATATCAAAGTATTATGACATCACATAGTCATTGTGATGTAATAGACCCATTGTGATTTCATTCTATTTCAAATATGGCATTGAGGGTAGATAATAGAAACCCATTGTGACCTCATTACCATTTTGACATCACAATCCCTTTGTGACATCACAATGCCATTGTGAAATCACTAACCTGCTGTCTCATCACAAACCTGTAGTGTCCTATTAACTTTTGTAACATGCTGCCATTGTGATATCTTAGACCTTTGGTGAGCTCATGATTTGTTTTTAACTTAATACTATTTCAAGTATGACATGTGATAGCAGAATTCCACTGTGGAATTGCACTACCAGACATATGAACATTTTGTCACATTGTGACATCACAAACCTGTTAGGATTTCATCACATTTGTGACATGTCATTGAGACAGCACAGTTCTTTTGTGAACTAATATACTCATTGTGAATTAATGAAAATTGAGATACATCATACCATTTTAACATCACAAGAAGATTGTGACATCAGAAACCCACTGTGACATCACAAAACTATTTTGACCACATCACCAGTATGGCATCACCAAGTAATTGTGACATTAATCCATTAACTTGACATGATATTGAGACATTGCATTGCCATCATGATATTATCCAATTGTGTTTTCGCAAACTTCTATGACCTCATAATATTTTAGAAAATTCATGGCCTATGGGACTTCCAGCTCCTTCTGTCTTCTCATAACCTCATTGTGAACTAGTAGCAATTGAAATTGGACATGTCTTTGTGACATTACAAACTCATTAAATAACCCTTTTGACCTCATAACCATTATGATAGCATAAACACATTGTGACATCACTGCTGTTGTGACATCATGATCACACTGTGACATCCCAAACCTATTGTGACCTCTGAGTACCTTTGAAACCATGGCCTTTGTGACATCACAGTCTTTTTGTATACCCATCTCCCCTTTGTGAACTAATGATAATTGAGATTAGACATGCCATTGTAACCTCATCAATCCTTTGTGACATTTTTCTCTACTATGACATCAAAAACCCATTGTGACATCACATTGCCATTGTGACATAATGATCACCTTGTGACATGCCAAAACTATTCTGATCTCTGATCACCTTTGAAAACACACATGGCCTTTGTGACATCCAAATCCCTTTGTGTATCCATCTCTGCTTTGTGAACTAATGTCAATTGAGATCAGATTTGCCATTGTAACACAAAAGCTTCGTGACCTTATCACCACTGTGACATCACATTGTCAATATGACACTGGCAGCTTATTGTGACTTCACAAATTTACAATGACATCCTAGCATTATGACATCATATTGTCATTGTCACTTCACAGACACATGGTGAATATGTATTCTGTAATTTCATTCTATTTAAAATGTGGTATGTGGGTAGATATCAGAAACACATTTTTGACTCATAACCATTGTGATATCACAATCCCTTTGTGACATCACATTGCCATTGTGATATCACTAACTCACTGTGACATCAGAAACCTGTCCTGTCCTCATAACTTTTGTGACATGCTGCCATTGTGATATCTAAGCCCTTTGTGCACTCATAAACTGTTTTCAATCCCATAATATTACAGGTATTATAAGAGATATCAGAAATCTGCTGTGACATCATGACCACTGTGACATCACACTAGCAGAAATCATAAGCATTGTGTCAAATTGTGACATCACAAACCTGTTAGGTCTTCATCACTTTTGTAACAACATAATCCTTTGGAGACATCACAGTCCCTTTATGAACTCATATACTAATTGTGAATTAATGACAATTGAGATCCTGCATGCCATTGTGACATCACAAACCTATTAATTTTGACATCAAACCATTACCTTGAAATGATATTGTGACATTGCATTGCCATTGTGATAGCACTGTTCCACTGTGTTTTCACAAACTTAGTATGACCTTATAACATTTTAGAAAATTCATGGCCTTTGGGACTTCGAGTTCCTTCTGTGAACTCAGATCCTCATTATGAGTTAGTACCAATTGAAATTTGACAAGTCATTCTGATATTGCAAACTCATTGTGATGTCAGAAACCTGTTGTTACCTAATTATGACCTCTAAAGTTTGAGACAATCAATCTATTGATGCATGGTTAAAATAACACGAATTTTATTTACAGAAGAAAAGGGACCTGTGACTACCTTGTCCTGGGATGGATACCCAGAACCAAGAACAACATTGACCACCAAACCTCCAGGCCTCCAATGGGCAGTCATGCCCTCTAATAGTTCGTTTGCAAACAACCAACCCTAACCCTCCAAAGCGCCAATGCTCCAGAGAGCAAGACTTTTCCTTTCTTTCATTCTACCACTTCCTTCATTACAGGCCTCTCAATTTCACAGGCCTGTCCTTCCAGGTCTTCCTGGTAACCTTTTGCCTTCTTTCTCCTCCAGCTCTCTCTCTATTAATTAGTTTCCTTCCACTAACCATCTTCCAGGTTTCCACGTCTTCTTGGTAGCCTGTTGCCATAGTTCTGCTGTCTCTCAATTAGCTTCCATGACTTCCTGGTAGGCTATTTGCCTTCTTTCCCCTGCTCTCTCTCTCTCTCTCTCTCATTCTCTCTCTCTCTCTCTTTGCTTTCACTCTCCACTTTCCAGGTGTTCCTGTTATCATGTTGCCTTCTTTGCCTTGCTCTCTCTTTCAACTTTCAAACTTGCTCCCATTGCTCCAAACACACAGCCTATGTACAGGCTGCGCCCCTTGCCCAGTCCAATGGGTCTCCTCCCTAACAGTTTCCAACTACCACTCATGCCCCTTTCCCAAGTTGATCACTGTTCAATCACTTACTTTCTTTTGTTTGCTTTTTTTCCCCAAAATTTATTGTAAATGCTGTAGAGAGGGGTTA